GTAAACTGTGTAGCAGTGAAGGGGTTAATCTGTGTTTCCTGAAAATTTGAGGGGGATTGCTTTGAAAACAAAAAAGTTATTGCAGTTTTAGTCAGGGTACCTACATTTGTGAGCATGCCTGGTGAAAGGTACCAAAAGACTCATTTGTTCGAACCAAGATATCAGGCTTCAAAAGCTCAAAAATATAATTTTTGACAAAAACTAAGTTCCATTAAAAATGTATTCTTAAGCCAATAACTCTTCATGTTCGGTGAGCCGGTGGAAGCGGCTCGGAGTGAAATGGATTTGGCCGGCATGCCGCTCACTATATTAGCCTGCTATAAATACATGCGAAAGTAACATTTCATGACATCAACCCAAATGCCGAAAATAGGTCTATTTCTGTTGGTTGTACTTTCATTTTATAGCGTTTAATGAAGCGCGTATGCTAGATTTGATGGTTTGTTTCCGAACAGCTGATTTTCTGTGTCTAAATTGTTTGTGTTGGTTACGGAGATCATCATGGCTGAAGGAGGTAGGCCACTTCAGCGTCTCACTGCTAAACAAGCGCTCGACTTGTTCCAATAAAGCCCTGACACAGACGTTGATAGCCTTTGTAGTGATTCTACTCGGCATGAGAACGATGCTTTCGATCCAGACAATTTCTCAGATTCCGACAGGAATAGAGCAGTAAGCGATACTGAAAGAACATCCACAACCCCCTGCATATCCTCCACTTCTCAAGGACCTACATGTCGTAAAGTACCTAGGGCTTCTGCCCTACTTTCCTGTGTCAGTACTACCAGCTACAGTGGTAAATGTAAAAAGTAAAGGAAAGGGCAAAGGCAAAGGAAAGGGGAAATCTTGTAGACCCAGTCAGTGCTGTTACTTCAAATGACCAACAGCAGTTAGTTCCCACCGTAGATGATCCAGAGACTGCTGACCGCCAGGTTCAGTGGCAGCAGATCGATGAGGAGAAGGAAGTCAAAACTTCAAATAGCTTTCGGCTTGCCACTCCACGTCCAGCTGGAGTAAACGCAAACCTGGACAATACGTCTATAGCTTTGCAGTACTTTAAAGTACTACTTGACAACTGTTGACTTTCTCATAAATTCAATCAACGATTATGCAAAGTTGAAAGGACAGCAGCACAATCCACCAAAGAAACGTTCTGTGTAAGGTGAAAGGGAAGACATTGACAGAGAAACTTTTAATAGATTTTTGATGGTGCTTATTGTCATTGGTATGGAAAAAAAACCAAGAGGTAGGGATTATTTTACAAAATCCCCTTCCTACTTGTATACTCCTTGGTTTTACCAGATTTTCCTTAGCCGCGACAGATTTTTATCTATTTACGATACTATGCTACATGCTGGAGAAGCTGGAGGGGAGCAAAAGGACAAGATTGAGCTGTTCATAGATATGCTGATAGACAGGTTTCAGTCTGCGTTTTATCCTTTGAAAATTTGTCATTTCATGAGATGATGATCGGTTTCAAAGGGAGGTGGGCAAATGAGCAGTTGAACGCATCAAAACAGCACAAATACCATATCAAAACGTTGGGACTGTGTGATAGCCTGACCGGATTTGTTTACAACCTTCTTTTGTACTACGGGAAAGACACCTCTTATGACCCTGAATGTGACCCAAAATCTCTGCAGGCAGAGAAAGTATTTCAAACACTGCTGACAAATATCGGAAAAGGGCACACCATTTTCGCGGATAGGTCTTATACCGCGCTGCCTATAGTTGACTACATCAGTAGTTGAGGTCTTTACTTCACGGGGACTCTTCAAGTCACAAGAAAAGGATTTCCACAGGAATTGAAGACACAAAAACTGAAGCATAAGGAAACAAGATGGTATATGGGAAAAGACAACAAGATTTTGAGTACAGCTTGGCAAGACAAAAAAGAAAAAAAACCCATGTGTTCTTGTTTCTACAAACTCAAAAGCTGAAAAGAAAACTGTTCGTGTAAATGGTGGTGAAGCTAGCAAGCCAGCGATGGTAGTTGAATACAATCAAGCGATGAAGCTGACAAAATATCTCATATCATGGAGTGCATGAGCGCCGCTCTAAAAAATGGTGGAAGAAGATTTTTTTCTGGCTGTTAGAAATCTCCCAAGTCAATGCGCATATTCTTTAAAATCTGGCACATCCCAACGACAAGCGTGTTGAGCTTCGTAAGTTCAAAAATATGTTGGTGGAAGAAATGGAGTTCAGTATTACCCTGAACAGCGATGGGGATCCTGCTCAACCCAGTTTCATTTGAACGCTTTGACACATCCAAGATGCATCTGATCCAGTATGATGGGAGAGACTGAAATTGTGTTGTGTGCAGCGGACCAGGCGGGGGACGCAAAAGAACAATTTTTGTCTGCTCAGGTTGTAGTGACAGACCATTTCTGCATCCAAGGGACTGCGCAAACCTGGATCTACTTTCTTGAAAATTCTTGCTCAAGGTGGTGAGAATTTGTTTTGAAGACGTAATATAAACATTTTGAAGCTGTTCTTTTATCTTAGCTGCTTTTAAAGTTGGTTTGTTAGTAGCAAAAGTGTTGTCAGGTCGTATCGAAGAGAAGATCTATCTATTTGAAGCAGAAACAAAGGCGAAACTTTTTTAAAAAGCCTGTTTTTCTTAAAACTTTGTTTCCGTACCCTGCCTTACAAAATCACCCATATCTCCAAAAAATTACTGAAATTATCTTAAAAATTCAAAAAGCATATTGTTCAGAAATGATCCCTCTACATGAAAATAAAAAAAAACAGGATTCTTCAAAATGCATCATTTGGTACCTTTCACCAGGAACACACACATTTGTGGATGTGGCTGGAGGCAGCCCAGGTGGGTGTGTCTGCTCAGGGAGGCAACTCAGGTAGAAATGGGTTAAGGGTTTTGCCCCCAGAACCCCTACCGGGGATAATGTTTTTGGACCCTGCCGGGGGCCTTTTCGGCCCCCAGACCCTCGGCATAGGATTTTCCTTACATTTTAGCTTTGTTTGTCGGAAGCACTGTCAATAGTATGAAATGATCGAAAGACATGTTACGCATGAAGAGAATGTCCTTACTTGAAAATCTACAAATTTGACCTTGATATCCATTTTCGGATGCTATCACCATTCCTGGATTGCAAGGTGTAACTCATTTTGTCAGCGTGCTTAACACATCTCCACCCTCCTCTCGGGGTACAACACGGGGGTCAAAGGTCAAAGATTATTTCCCGCCCAGAAGCTCCTGTTGTTTGGCCGCAGTGATGTCCTCCACTTGGCGAATCGTCTGATGCATAAGGTCCTTGACCTGGAGGGAACATTGAGAAATGTGGACTTGATTGGTTTTGTTTGCTTCGGTTCTAAAGGTGGAGTGAAGAAAGGAGGTTTGAGCAAAGAGAAGCACATCAACACATTAACTCATTCAATGCTGAGGGAAAATTTAAAGCTATACTGAGCAATTTCTAAGTGAATGGGTTGGGCTTACTGAAATACACACAATAAAAAGAAAATATCTAGTGTTTTCAATTAAAATGGCGCCATGAAAGAACTTAAACATATGTGAGTCATCATGGTGAAATCAGGCGCTTGTCAAAATAATAAAATTGAAGAAATAGTCATGTTTCCACCCGTTTGGAAATTTTTACTGATTTTGTTTGTTTTTTTGCTCAACCCCTTTCATGTCCATATATATAAAAACATATTCATGTGTACATTTAACTGGAACTAGTTGACAAGAGGCACACAAAAAAATTGTAATTTCCAAGGACTCTCAAGCTTTGGAAGTCATTAATCGTTGGTAGTAATTTTCTCGCCAATTTTACCTCTAAAACCAGGCAACCCCCACCTCCTTCAATCGCAAAAATCTCGACTTCTATTCAAGATAGGCGGCTATTTTTTCATCGAAATCAAGACAAATAAACAGGCTTTAAAATCATACCAATAACTCCATATACCCAAAATTTGACGAGCGCCTGATTCTATCGCATCGTGACACATATCAAGACTTCTTTCCTTTACTCAAGTGGCTATAGACAAAGGCAGAGCGAACCTTTCACTGAATTTTTTAGTGTTGTAAAGAGACAATAGAAGTTTAGGGAGAATATTTGTCAAACGCACACAGGCGCAAACCAAACGAAGTGAGAATTCTCGTCACAAGCATTGAACGAGATAATGATTATTTAGTGCAGGGGAATAGAAAAACAGACAGACACAACAGAAGGAAAAAATCAAAGTAGGGCCTATCAGTGACTGTCTCAACCCACTCGTGGGGTAGGGGGGGGTATTTTTTAGCACCCTTCACCATTTGCCTCTTTCACCCAAGTAATAGTGGTGTTTATGGTGTAGTGGTTACATGAGGGGGAGGGATCCTTAGTTCTATTCCCGAGTTGTGAGTGAGAACATTTTTATCGAGTACCTCAGTCTTTCCCCTGGCATGTTGTATTCGTCGCAATTCGGGTTGGCCCTGAACAGGCAGAGTCAGAAGCCTGCCTCCTACAAGATCTAAATTTTGTGTCGATGGGGGCGTAAAAAACACCTACATTTAAAAGGAAAAAAAAACATACCCTGGCATTACGTAAAGGCCGCCAAGAAGGGCTCGCTGTCTGTCTCTGCTCTGAGCGATCTTCTCTATCATATCAGAAAACAACAAAAGCCTACCACATCAGAGTACCTACCATATCATATCACAACACCACCAGCCTACCACACCAGATACAAGACCAGTAACCTACCATATCATCGGCTGCTATCAAGTCGTCAGATGAATGGCCTGCCTTAGAAGACTTGATCTTCTTGGAGTACTTAGAGTAGACATCTCGCAGATGCTTCTTGGACTGTTCACTCAGCCCTTTGGCGTTCTTAGCGAGGGACTGTCGGTGTTCTTTTGTCACCCTGTCAGGAAAACATACGAGACAGACATCTTTGTCATAATCCCCAGCGGTTGAGAAGCTTCCTTTTTATTGTTTACTACATTTTAATACTGGTTTTACGGGATTGGCAACAAAATCAGGTCACATAAGTGCAAAAGATAGAGGTGTTACAGGAGAGCAACAAACACAAAAAAGAAAGAGGAGAGATAAGAACAATATATGTCTGATAAGAAAGGAGCAAACCACATCTGAGCACCCACCAGTGACCAACAGGAAGTTTTACAGCACTTGCAACACACTTCGGTCATATAAATGCTAAAGATTAGATGAGGGTTTTTTTTGGAACAAGTGTTTTATGGCACTTGCAACTGCATAAAGTCATATGAGTGCGTGGGACACACTAAACATTTTCAGTAGGAAGGACATTTTTTAACTTTGTTCGGGTGGCAGCCGAAGCCTACTCATATCGATTTTGGACCACCAAGGGATCTTTAACTTACGCAATTGCAATCGAAATTCTCCAAGACGGACTACCTATTGTTGAGGAAAAAAATTGACTACTTTTATAGAACAGGTGGACTCCTTGGACATTGTCATTCATTATGACAAGAAAAAAACAAGAAAAAAAAAACTCTGCAAAGGTAGGAGAGGAGAGTGGTTTGGGTACAAGCAATTGTCTCACCCAAGAGATAAGGACAACAGATGTTTGATAGGAAAGAAGGAGCAAATCACACCAGAGCACCCGCCAACCACCCACTCCCATGATTAGATGTGGTATGAGAGTTACATTTGAACATAAAAGGTGAGACTGTATTTGTAACAAAAAACAACATTTGCCAGTACCATACATTGCACAACATAACAACATCACGCTAGTATTAACTGATTTAACCCGCAGCTTCTATCACAGTGGCCGACTGTCTCTTGTGTTTTGGTGCGGAGCCGGTTGGAGTGGCTCTCATCTATAGCTTCCTTTCTTCACATCAATTTCACCCTGCTCTTCTTTTTATCCTTTTTTTCTGGTGTCATTGAACAGTACTTTTTAATCTGAACATTTCTATATGTCATATAGAGCGTTTTTATCAAATTTAGATATTTCTTTATTAACTTTTTGTGAGACCACCCATGAGGTCACAAAGCGGTCACAAATTATTTGCATCTGGAGTCAAAATTATCTGTGGGCTGAATCAGTTCAGTTCTAACTAGGTAACTATAAGAAATGGGTGAACTTTTTTTTTTCTTTTCCTAAACCAGTGGCAGGGTCAGATTGCAAATTATCAATAAAAATATAAATATCAAAAGCTGGCAGGCGCAGAAGAAGAAAAGTACTGCCAGCTAACTTTTGTGTCTTCTCTCATAATTTAAATCAGAAGAGGTTCATTTTGTGTGCTGATAAATTTTCAGAAAAAGAATTAAAATGTCAAAGCAAGACATCGTCAAATAGCAGCCAAGTTTCCAAAACCGGACAGAAATGTCACAAAATGTCTAGTACACGTCTTTCCAATTGACATATTGGGCTTCATTCTCTTTATTTTTTACAAATTCTGTTTTGAAAGCTCATAATTTTTCTTCACCATAGGCAAGTCCATGAGGAGCAATACTAGAAAACAGAGTACGACTTTTCCGACACAAAAACGGACCTGTGTACTCAGATCCTAGAAAACGTACTAAATACATTTTTTAATGTAATGGTTGGAAGCTATGCCACTAATCTGCCACAGAGGCAACTTGGAGTCACTCACGTGGGCAAGGGAATAAACAAAGTGAGGCCGTCCTGCTGTGGGTTGATGTTGAGCCCGGACGATGCCAGGGCTTCTTTCACATGCTGGACGTACTGGGGAATAGAAAATCACAATAAGGTTATATTTAGAGGCTTAAAGCAAGAAATATACAGTCTCTCACGTACATAATATGTATAAGTTTGCTACGTGTGTGTGTTTTTAATACAAAACATACATGTGTAACAAAAAGTTTAGGACCTGAAAATCTGTTTGCTATGTGCATGTTTCTTTATATACATGCTATACTGCACATTGGACGTTTAAGGCATCTCTCTCTCTCACACACACACACACACAAATTAACACAGAATGACACTCAAACGGGAAATTACAGTACATAAAGATTGCTTCATGTAAGACTCTGCCATACACGCCATTTTAAAAAGAGATGTATGACGGAATCCTACATAGAGTAGCGGATAAGTGCCCACAACAACAACAAACTGTGGCCGTCCTGTTGCGGTTGGGTCTGTGTTGTGCCCGGACACCACCAGGGCTCCTTTCACTAGCTTTCAGTTTTAATAAGAGTCATAGTTTTACAGCACTTGCAACACAATTATAAAGTCATATAATATAAGTGCCAAAAGTAAGAGGTTTTACAACAGAGTTACAAACATTAAAAAAAGAAAGAGGAGAGTTTAGTTTTAGTTTTAGTAGAGGTTTTACCGCACTCGCAACTGCATAAGGTCATATGAGCGCCAGAAGATTAGAGGTGTTACAAGAGAGTAACAAACATAAAAAAGAAGAAGGGGAGATAAGGACAGCAGATGTTGGATAGGAAAGAAGGAAAAACCACACCAGACACCTGCCAACCATCCAGATTTCAGTAACAGTTTTACGGCATTTGCAACACAAATATATCATACGAGGGGCATACCAAAAGTTTTTTACCTGACCATGAAGGAATAAAGGTAGAAAGCTGAAATTCGGGGTGAAAGCCAACAATTATCTTTCTAGATAGCATGTGAATTTTGGGGAATTTCCGATCACTGGTTTTAACACCAGCGCACAGTAAGTGAATGAGGGTATGTTGTTCTCCAGTTTTAACATAAAAAATGGAGAAATTTGAGCACAGAGCAGTAATGAAGTTTTTGTTCTTGCAAGGCAAGCAACTACAGGATATTTTTACGGAGATGCATGTCGTGTAGGTAACTGATTGCCCATTCTATGCTGTGATAAAATTTAGCTGTAAAAATTCAAATGCAGATTCATGGACATTGAAGATGACCACAGTGACGGTCACCAAGGGACAGCAACAAAAGAAGAGAATTTGTTGAAAATCAAGAAACTTATGTTGACAGATAGGCGGATGACAGTCGAACGTTTGAGCAAAGAAACTAAGCTTAGCATTGGATCGGTTGAACGAATATTAAATGAACATTTGAATACGACCAAGGTTTCTGCGAGATGAGTCCCACGATTGTCGACGCCTCCTCAAAAAGTGCAACGTGTGGATTGTTATCAAGAATCACTTGGTCTGAATGAAAAGGATGAAACTAAATTTTTTTAAAGACCTGTAACCAAGGATGAAATATGGGTCCACCACTACCATCCTGAGTCAAAATCTGCATCAAGGAAGAGGAAATCGTCCTCGTCTCCAACACCAAAGAAGGCAAAGGTGCAGACATCAAGTGGAAAAGTAATGCTGTCAGTTTTTTGGGGACCTAGAAGGAGTGATTAGGACAGACTATCTTGAAAATGGACATACGATAACTCGAGACCATTATTCTAACCAGCTAAAAAATTACAAGAGGCTATTAAAAAAAAAAAACGCAGAGCAAAGATCCGAAAAGGCATTTTGCTGTTTCATGACAACGCGCCAGCACACACTTTTAAAAAAGCTGCAGAAACTGTGCAAGAAAGTGGCTATGAAATTTTGCCACATCCACTCTTTTCTCCAGATTTAGCCCAGTCCAACATGTTTTTAATTCCCCAAACTGAAAAAGGATTTAAAAGGAAAAATTTCAAAGTTGTAATGAGGTCAAGGAAGCGGTAGACCGATGGCAAAAATGTATAAATGTGGGAGGCATCTACATAGAGAAAGATTAACGTTAGTACCAAATTTCAGCATTCTACCTTTATTCCTTCATGGTCGGGTAAAAAACTCTTGGTATGCCCCTCGTACAAGTGCCAAAGATAAGAGATGCTGTTACAAAAAACAAATGCGGAATTATCAAGAACCTATCGGTAGCGCTCTTCAGCCATCCCGATTTTTTAGTTAAGCATTAGTCAGTTCTACAGCACTTGCAAGACAAACATGTCATATAAGTGCCCCGAGCAAAATATGAAGAAAAGAAGGAAGAGAGATAAAGATAATAGATGTCTGATAGGCATAAAAGGAACAAACCACATCAGATCACTAGCCAACCACCAACACCGACAAACTGAAACAACTACAAAATAGTACAGGAAGAAGTCAAGACCTAACAGCGGTGCCCTCCAACCACCTACAACGTACCTGAGGACTGGCTGCAAGGTTGACCAGGATCATCTGCGGAGACTTTTGGACCACCTGACCCAGCTGGATGAGAGGAAAGTTCCCATCCGGCGTTTTCACAATCAGCTTATCAAACACACCTAGGAAGAAAAAAAGAAATAATTCATATTGCGCATATCCACACAACAGCATGCTCTATGTGCTTTACAACTTCCACACTTAAAAAAGGACCACATAAAACACAACCACAAATTAAATTAAATCTTCAAGTACCAAGATTGATCAGCAGAGCTACAAAGGGTAAAGAAGGACCGTGATATACAGGTGCTGGATACAGACATCTATCGGTGCTGGGTACAGAAAGAGTTAAGATAGCTCAGTGAAAGCCAGGGCTGACACCCGACACTGTGACCAAGATCAGATCCCCATCATCAACAAAAACTTTACACCAAAGCAGCAAAAATTGTATTTTTGTATTTCTTACAATTAAAAAGTGGTAAACGATTCTTATTCCCTCCCTCCTAATTGGCACTGTTTGGATGCATTCGGAGAGTTGGCTGTTTCCACCTGCCTGCTGGGGCCTACCCCGGCTGAGGGGGAGGGGCACACACACACACACACACACACACACACACACACACACACACACACACACACACACACACACACACAAACACACACACAAACGCACACACACACGCACACACACTACATCTAAGCTGACAGATGGAGATCCTCGTTTGGTAAGTTTCAGTTTGGTTAAAGTTGTGCGACCGCCTGACTTCACCACGATGACAAGGTCGTATGAGGAGTGCACAGGAAGCAAGTTCCAGCGGATTGTTTTCATGTTTGTTCACAGCACATTTTGCATTTGCTTTGAAAGTCAGAAAGGTTGAATCACCTAAAGATACATATGACATAGTAAAATTCGTTTTTAAAAGCAGCAGTTTACATTACTAAAAGTTCTAGAACACTATTAACATTTTGTAGTAAAGACCAATGAGCTATTCAATAGAAACAAACTTCCACCATAATGCATAAAGCGAGATTCAAACTCATTTCTTCTATTTAAAAGGACCATGAACCTAACCTGTACACCAACACAGATTCTGGCATTATACAGGACTTACTGACCTTGTGAAGTGCGGAGCGTGAGCTGATGTATAAATTTCTCCTTCAGGTCTTCCAACACATGGTTCAGATCATGGTGCACACGCTCAACGTCCAACAGACCTTCTAACTGTTCAGCTGTCAGCTTCACCTTTTTGTGGCCTTTACCCCCTGCCAAAAAATAAACAAATTAATTAAGAATAAAACAGAGATTGTACACTGCACACATGTTATTGTCACTAATCATTTTTTGAAGAATGGGAAAATCATTTGTTAGGACAGCTAGAGATGATTGAAAGAAGATTGAAAATCATTAGTCAGGATGATTGCTCTATATTTAATTCGCTGACTCACACTATAGGCACTATCATTGAGCACTTAGGAGCACTGGTTTCCCACAGCAAACTACAGCTGCTGTGAACTATGGACATTTAGGAGGTGGGCTGCTTCAACCCTGCTTATCAGGGATCATCCAGGCTGAGAAAAATACGCCAGACAGAGATCGCGAAATAAACATTTTGTACAGAGTAACAGCATTTAATGTTTTTATACAGTGGAGTACACTTAGACTTGACATATTTTTATCAAAAACAGCGGTAAACGGAAAACAGATAAGATATCCACTTTTTATTAACTTTTAAAAATTTGGAGCAACCTTTCTGAACTTTAGTCCTGTTCTATCATCACAGCTTTCATCATTTTCTCCCCCTCTCCCAGGCCTCTTCTGCGCTTCTCTTTCAGTTACTCCAGACTCTTTCTACTGCTATTTCTGTCCCCTTTTCACTGCTGCCTTTCCGTGACACATGAGATCTCACGGTAGATAACATCAAACACCTACCCTCGTGTGCAAGTTGCACATGTTCAAGATCCCCTGGTGGTCCTAGAATCAAAAAGAGTAGGCTTCGAGTGTCACCCTCGCAAAATTCAAAATTAATTCCCATCAAAACAGAAATTACTCTAGTCAGAGTAAAAGAATACCTCGTAGAGAGCACATGAGATTCAAAATCAAAATGTGGCTGCCTGAAGGCAAGGGGGCCTACAATGTAGGAAAAACAGAAGAGTGAATACATAAAAATCCATTGCACTGCAGGTTGAAAAAAACAGCAGTTGACTATCCCTGAGATTTTGCAGGGGAACTTAAAAAGAAAAGAGAAAAAAAAACAAAAGAAAGGTACCCACCTTTGTCCTTGCCTTTCTTTGCATAAAGTCTGATCACAGACCATGACATAGGAGCTGGCTGCAACAGCAGACGTCTTTCTCCTATTGGCTTCAGCATGCCCATGGAGCTTTGGCCGGATGGCAAAGAGTTAAAATATGATGTACTAGCTGAACTCACATGAGCAGCATTTGTGAGACTGCAACAATAGGTATCCACAGAATTTAATACTGAACACCTGGACAAAAAGGAAGCCCGCAGAAGTTTCCCTCTCAGGCTCAAAAGTTGCTTACAAGATGACATGATAGTGGTGGCGGTACACTGAAAGACAAAACATATTTCATAAGTTAGAAAAATCAAATCCTGAAATCCTACTAGTCACTAGTGAAGACGACAAATTCAAAAATCTCGAGAACAGATCAAGTTTATTTTCCCTAGCGTTCGGAGAAATAGTTACTTCGAAATCTTAACCAGTGCCAAGATCTTGATCTAGATTTCTAGATCTCACCACAATCTGGAGTTGGGGCTTGGCTGGACTGGAGAGGAGACTTAGATAGATATCTCAATCTATCTCTAGATCGGAAGGAATTCCGTAACGAACGACCACCCCAACAAACAAAAAAGGGAGTGTATACAGACCCGGTAACCGGGAACAAAGTCACAAAGTATACAGACCCAGCAGGGGAACTCTTTTGTGATTTCGGAAAGTTTCAGTGCCCTCTTGGCTCAGGGTAGACCTAGGTTCTTCAAGATCTATGGCCTAGGTCTAGATCTAGACAGACAGACATAAATCATTGATCTTGTTTCGAGGCTAGCCTAAATCTAGACATTTTTAATCTAGATCTAGATCTAGATCCAAATGAAGATTGCGGATATCTTTTCGAGGAATGATCGTTTTTCCTCCGTTTTGGAGTTGGAGAAATCACAATTTGAAGACAATGTCATAATTTCAATCGAGCAGTTACCCTCTCTATAAAAAGTCTATTTCTCTGCCGCCGCCCCCCCCCCCCCTCTCTCTCTCTCCTCTGTCTCTTTGTATCGCTCACATTCTCTTTTTCTTTGTTTGTCTCTGTCTTTCTTTCTCCCCACCTATTTCCTACTCTATCTTTCTCTCGTTCCCTCCAGCCAATTGGGGCATGTCATGCATTTTGCTAGCACTTCCCCCTGCTCTCTCTCTCTCTCTCACACACACACTACCGGGTCTGGGCGCTGAAACTTTCCGAAATTACAAAAAAGTTCCCCTACCGGGTAAACTGTATATTTCGTGACTTTGTTCCTGGTTACCGGGTGTGTATACACTTCGAACAAAAAAATAGGGTGTTTTGTAGTTTTGTTCGTTAAAGTTCCAAAAGTCAAGAGAATTATTTATGGGGGTTTCAGATAAAAATACGGAGGTGGAGGTGGGGGAGGAGGGTTGAGGGGTGGAGGGGGGTTAAAGTGGGCATGCCCCCCTGAAATTTACTATATTTGATGTTTTAGTTTGGACAGTTTACTGTTTGGTTGATTCCTTGCTCTTTGTGTTGCATAGATCTAAATCTAGATTTCTCTAGATCTAGATTCTATATTTGATCAGCAAGACTTCCGGATTTCTTCTCTGGATGTAAACAAATGGTACGGGCTTTAACGAACGGAACTACAAGATCACCTAGAAGAGACCTAACCCTAACCCAACCCCTAGATCTACATCTAGATTCTACATATATATCTAGATCTAGAATCTATCTCTTGATCTCTAGATCTAGAATTCTAGCCAGCCCTAACCCTTAGCGGCGGCACTTAGCTTAGCCTACACACACTCCATTCTGGTCTAGATTCTAGATTCTAGATCTAGATCTATATCTAGATCTAGATTAGATCTAGATATCTAGAGATAGATTTTAGATCTAGACTCTAGATCTAGATCCTAGATCTAGATTTACCAAGACTTTGAATGCAGCGGTTCCCTCGAATATTTGCAACGTATGAATAATAATCTGCAACTTGGGGGCTTCTTAAAATGTCCTTTTGGGGCCAAACACAAAAAGTTCAAAAAACGTTTCCCAATGAGATACACAGCAGCCTTTCGTTGTGCTTGGTTGGAGAGGCGAGAGAGGGCCTGAAACTACTTAGTGTGCAAGTGTGCAAGTCGTGGGCGCCAGGAGCACACTCAGCACAGAGATGTAAAAAATAAATATTAAGTCTATGATTGCTATGAACTAGAATCGTGCTTAGCAGTAAAGAAATTCAACGACGATTGAGAGTCGTGATCATACTATTCAAACCATTTATGCATAATAGTAATTATATTATGTATTAATACAATTTAATTTTAGTTTCATAACTTTTTTTTCATTGTCGTTGGATCTAGATCTATATCCTTCGAAAAACGAAGAATTTTCCCAAAATTAGACAGCTTATTTGCTTTCAAGCAAAAAATTTGATCCAAGTTTCCATTAGCCTATCTAGACTACAGTAACTACACTTTGGCTTTGGTTTACGTTAACTCAATGATAGTACGGTTAACTCAAGGAAGAATGGGGTATCAAAACTGTTGTCTCCCTCTATTGTGTCGCAAGTCCTGTTACGGTAAATCTTCAAATTGAGTCCAGTTGTTGGTGCTGCACGAAGTAATTAGAAATCTTTAAAATCTTCTCAGAATGTGAGCATAATATTATTAGTGAGCTGTTAGTATTGTTTCACTCCATTACAGCTTTTATGCGGTTTCATCTAGAAACAGTTGTAAATATCGATATATGTAGATTACGGGATATCCTGCAGATTCTAACTTACTTTCTCCAGAAATCTATAGGCCTAGGCCTACCCACCGGCAATATAAATTTTCCACTTTGTTTTTTGTAACTGCGCCCTTGTTCAAATGAGTTAGAGAGTGAAATTTTGCACATCATTCACCATAATGTACCTTACGATGACTCCGCCCTGATCTTTTTCCTGAAAAAAAATTAACCACGTGGTCACATGACCCACATGCAAATTAACGTGTTTTGCTCCGCCGAAATTTTGAAGTTGTCTAAACTGTGTTTAGATCAACACATTAACGATTTTAGAACCGAAAAAACTAGTTACATAGATATTCCAGTTGGACTTAAATGCTGTTCAAGATGCCAAGGTTAAGCCCCCAGGGGCGCTGTTGGGCAATTTGAATACTCCTCGCTGTACTATTGGCCCGAGAGTGACGCAGATGCTTCATTGCTCCCACCCTACCATCAATATCCTGAAAGATTGGTTCCAAGTCACTGGAGTTACACCTGACAAACCCAGAGCAGGCAGACCATAGGCCGATTCCGCCTAAGAAAAAAGACAGATACTGCTCTGGCATCTTTGAGGTCACTTTCTCACAACGACCAGCGCTGCACGCCAATTGCATACAAACACTGGAAGAGTTATCAACGATAGAAGGATACTACGGCCTTAAATCACTTTCGAACTTCGAGCAAGGAGACCTTGAACAATGTTTGCCATCTTTCCAATAATTACGCTTGAACTGACTGTGCCTAAGAGGGAGCTCCCAAAAACGACATTAACACTGTACAACGACTGGGACAAGCTTCGATTCAAGAATGGAATGGACTGCCACAATAATTAATTCAAATAAGGAACAGAAAAACTGACTCGATCAATGCGCAGAACATGCAAAGCTTGCATTTATTGCAAGGGGTTACAATGCCCGCTAATGACGTGAAATTTTGAAATCAAGGGGCATCAGTTTGTGCTCAACACTGTACCACTATAAGAGACATGATCAAGAAACAAAAGGTAATAGTAATACACTTCTTGACGTACTTTGAAATATTTCTGTGTCAATTTTTGTTTTTATAATAATATGTTAAAGGATAACCACAATACAGGCGTCTTTCCAAGTGGACAGTTTCTATTGGCGCTGTGTATAGATGAATCACGTTGACGCTTTGCTTCTTGCGCCACTCAGCAGGCTACAGTTAGACGAGAAAGTGTGCATAAAAGAGCTTGGTCCACATCAGCCGCTGGATTTTGAGCTCAAAAACAATGTTCGCTCTTTTTCCTGTACGTGGTATGATAAGATTAAGTATGACTGGCTTACGGTGAGCTTGTACAAGAAGAAAGTGTACTGTTTCCATTGTCAACTTTTTACTGATCCATCAGACACTGACAAGGTTTGGTCATCAATCACGCTCACTCTCTCTTTGCCTTTCTTCTCTCTCTCCCTCTCTCTCTCTCTCTCTCTCTCTCTCTCTCTCTCTCTCTCTCTCTCTCTCCCCCCTTTCTCTCTCTTTCTCTCTCTCTCTCCCTCTCTCTCTCACACACACACAAACACACACACACACACACACACACACAGAGAGAGAGAGAGAGAGAGAGAGAGAGCGAGAGAGAGAGAGATAGAGAGAGATACTCGCAGGAAGCAGTAGATAGAACAGACCATACCAGAGCGCCCGCCAACCGCTATTACAATTTTAATAGTTGTAAGCCTATTGCCCTTTTGCTCACTTTCCAATTATGCACCATTTTGTTTGCAACCCACGCGACGCCACTGTTTAATAAGATTGTTATGTCTTAAGCAACCCAGTCCTTCCCCTACCCCCACTCCCATGGAAATGAGAGAGAGAGAGAGAGAGAGAGAGAGAGAGAGAGAGAGAGAGAGTGAGTGAGTTTATTGTTTATTGTTTCAAAAACAACATCCCTGCATTCAGAACACGCCCATTTATCCTCCGTTGCTCTCTCAAAAATGTCGCTGAGGGTCTTTCTACTGATTGTGCCAGCGCATACCTGGTTGAACGTTCTTCTGTTCTTTCCTGCAAGGTTGTCAGATTTTCCGCTTCTTTTTTGTATCCCTAAATCCATCATCCTCTTCACAGCAGTACTGGCCTGTCTCCTTATCTTCCTCTTCAATCAGGAGGCAAGAGAGACATTTCAGGATCTCGACCATGTCTGTTTGAACCGTGCTGTCAACTGAGGTGGCATCACCAGCCAGTCTGTAGGCTTTTTCATTTCACTTAACGCCTGCATGGCCAGGGCAAAAATTCCCTGTGAGAGAGCGTATTATATGCTTTGTTTCGAACAGTTGAATCCATTCTGTTCTCAGGAAACCTTTTTCTATCCTTCCGAGGGTATCCTTTTAATAAGTGATAAGAACAGCATGGATTGTGTGGGGGCGATCTTGGGTCATCCATTCAAGTGTATTTGTGATGGCTTCAATTTCCATTCACATACATGTACTTGATGTAGCCTTGCTACAGGCTCCAGGTGCATTGTGGATGACTTCATTGTTGGCGAAAGCAACAAATCCCCATCCACTTCTCTGGCTATCTTTTTTCACTGAGCTATCTGTGTAAATTATAGGATCCCCTGCTTTTGAGTTTTTGTCTACAATCTTGTTGATATCACTGTCGTTGATAGAAGCCGCAACATTTCTTCTGTCACTGCCCATGCTTATTTTGACCCTGGTGAGGTTCCTGTGTTCTCCCGCCATATGTCCCCATTCTTCGCCAACTGGTAGACTTTCAGGTATACAGATTTTTCGGAGGTAATCCTCTGCTTCCGCCATACAAGACTTTCCTATTTTGATTCTGTCTCTCTAGTTGTCATGGAGTACTTTGTGAAGAGGATGATCTTTACACTTAGATACATATTTGTTTGAGCTATCCTAAGGCATACTCTGATGCCACTTAAACCTAGCAAGTAGCGCAGGCTCAATATTGAAGTGTCCTTGGTGCAGCCCAGCATTGCTCTCATTGTCTCATTCTGCACTCGATCCAACTTGCGATCTATGTGTCGGACAGCGTGAGACAGCCCAATCTGTAAGCTAATCAATGACAGACAAGACGACCAGCTGCAACATCAGGAAGAGCACTCTTTGCGGAATCAGAGCTGCTGCCATGGTCTTGATTGCATCCACACCTCGTTTGGCCTTGTAACCACGTGATCCACATGCTTGTTGAAGGACAATAACCTGTCGAAGACGATTCCCAAATACTTCAGCTCTAACTGTCTGTCGATAATCTCATAGTTGCAAGTGATTGGTGGAGTATTGTCTTGGACGATCCTGTTGTCGAGGGAACACTAAAGTATCTGTACTTTTGAAGGATTGATTACTGCTTTATTTTGGTTGCACCAGTAAGCATCCGAGTAAAGTCTTTTCTCCATGTTCTTTGTCATCTGTAGTCTGTCATCTCTTTGCTCGCATGCCATTATGTCATCCGCAAGCTCAGGACATGTCCAGATTCCTTCTGAAGCATCGTTACCTGTGCAGTGTACACATTGAAAAGCACAGGAGGGAGAGGGGACGATCCTTTAGGCAACCCTGGAGCAATTGATACGGGAAGTGAGCGAGTGAGAGTGAGTAAGCGAGTGAAGGTGAATGAGAGTGAGACAGGGACGTAGGGTGGGTGAGTGAGGGGGTGAAAGTGAGTGAATGAGAGTGAAAGAGTGAATGAGTGAGTGAGCGAGAATGACAAACTCACAAACACACACACACACACACACACACACACACACACAA